CGAGATGCGTTGAGGACGTAATGGCGCTTTTCCACTGCATGGTACGGCACAGTTCGGCACGGCACGGCTCGCTTTTGGGGGGTTTTCCACTGTGTATGTCAGTCCTATGTCTTGTGTTTTTCTCCCCATGTGCCTTCCATGACCTGGTTTCTCCCGTGTTTCCTGCCTATATTTGGTGTTCCTGTTCCCATTAAGTTCCATTTGTTTCAGCTGTGTCCCAGTAATCTCCTTGTTAAGTTCTGAGTATATTAGCCCTGTGTTTCCTGAGTCCTGTCTTAAATGTCATCCCCGTGTGATATGTGTGTGTTCTCTTGGTTTGAAAATAACAAATGGCGCTTTTCCACCGCATGGTACGGCACAGTACGGTTCACTTTTGGGGGGTTTTCCACTGGGTACAGTACCTGGTACCTGGTACTTTTTTTAGTACCACCTCGGTTGAGGTTCCAAGTGAACCGTACCATTACCAAAACGTGACATGTAAACTCTGCTGATCACAGATTGGCCGGAGAGAATCGTCACTACCTGCGTCACTGAACTTGCGACACAAACACAACAGAACCGCTAGATTTAAATCAGCACAGCCAGCGAAGGATCGAAAGCAACTGTTTTGAACAAGCGCACCTTTTTTAACAACCAAAAAGTGGCCGTTTCGTTGTCTGTTGAGGAAATACAGCTGCCTGCTCCACCATGGCTTCCTAGTCTGCCTGCTCTGCCATGGCTCCCTGAACTGCCTGATCCGCCATGTGTCCTGGAACGGGTACCGCTCTGGAGGCCTGCCATCCCATGTAAGCATGTCCTGAGGTGCCTCCAGAGCGGAACCAAGCCATTCACACAGAACGCATATTCGGCACATTTTTGAGACGCACAACTATGAATGTTGCACTTGCGTCTCGCACAAGAGATGAACAGAAATCCATGTAAAGTTAAAAGAGGTTAAACTTTTAGAAAACATGTCTTGAGAATTTGTGGGGTTTTTTATTCCATTCCACTGCGTCTCATTTTTTTTAAATGCAATCGTGTGATCGGAACTCTGGCTATTTGTATTAATCTATGCATAAATACACAATGCTGTTTTGTTCATATTGTTTATGCAATTTACGAAATTATATTTTATTTATAAATATTAGTTTAGACGGTATGCACTTTTTGGTCCCACTTTATATTAAGTGGCCCTAATACCTGTGTACTTGCATAATAACTAGATGTGTACACATTGGTACATAGTATCTACAGCTGTAATGTTTGTATAACTACACATATGTAACAACCCACTGAATGGTATGTGCAAGTATAAATGTGTAACAGGTCAATGGTAACAACACTTTTTGGTAATGAAAGTACAAATGTGTAACAGGACTAACAGCACTTTTTGGTAAAGAAAGTGTTACACTTTATATTAAGTGGCCCTAATACCTGTGTACTTGCATAATAACTAGATGTGTACACATTGGTACATAGTATCTACAGCTGTAATGTTTGTATAACTACACATATGTAACAACCCACTGAATGGTATGTGCAAGTATAAATGTGTAACAGGTCAATGGTAACAACACTTTTTGGTAATGAAAGTACAAATGTGTAACAGGACTAACAGCACTTTTTGGTAAAGAAAGTGTTACACTTTATATTAAGTAAACAATTCCTATGGATTTACCATGTAATTACTCTGAGGTTACATAGCAGCGGCCAGTAAGTTAGGCTTTACATATAAATTGTGGTTGGTGTCTAGAATGTTACACTTTATATTAAGTGGACAGTTCCTGAGGAGTTACCATGTAAGTACACTGGTATTACAGTGGTGCACCAACTCCTCCCACTTTACATATCCCTAAAACTATACCCATTTCCACCCCTAAACCTACCCATCTCCACCCCCTGGATCAAATTGTTCCAATTACTCTTATACATTTTGTTGTTACAAAATGTAGTTATATATGTCCTGTTACACATTTGTACTTACACAAAACATTCGGAGGGTTGTTACATGTGTGTAGTCACAGAAATATTACAGCTCTAGATACTATGTACCAATGTGTACTTACAATGTGGTTACATACTACGTACACATCTAGTTACTATGTAATTACACAGGTATTAGGGCCACTTAATATAAAGTGGGACCCACTTTTTTAATAGACTGCTGTTATTTCATTGAATTGAATAAACAATTTAATGAGGTGCATTATTTTGCTCATTGCGCCCTCCTGTGGCCTCAGGAGACAGGCCAAATGTTTACTTAAAGGGTTAGTTCACCCAAAAATGAAAATTTGCCTGAGTTTTACTGGCCCTCAAAGCATCCTAGGTGTAGGCAACTTTTTTCCAATCAGAGTTATATAAAAAAAATTGTCCTGGCCCCTCCAAGCCTTACAATGGGGGTAAGCGGGTGTTGGTTGTCAACAGTTCAGAAGACATGAAATAAAGTGCGCGCATCCATAATTAAACATCCCTCACACGGCTTCGGGGGGGTGAATAAAGACCTCCTGTAGCGAATCCATGTGTTTTTGTAAGATAAATATCCATATTTCAAACGTAATAAACACTTTTCTCTCACTTCCGGAATTCTGTCATATGTGGAAGGCGTTCCGGCAGATGACGTAGGACGTCAGCATTGCGTGATTAGTGACGAGTGCGGAGAGAGAACAAAACAAAACGCCGGTCACGAATTAGAAGCACAAAATTAGGATTTGTAAAGAAAAATGTCAGAGATTTTTGATATAAGCCAAGAGGAGACTGGTTTTCCTTTGCTAAAGTAACGAAACTTTGCTCCCTTTGTTCCTGCATTTCTCAGAAGTGCGCGCACAATGCCTACATCATCCATCTGCATGTCTTCCGCATACCACAGTCAGCGGAAGTGAGAGAAAAGTGTTTATTACGTTTGAAATATGGATATTTATCTTACAAAAATGCATGGATTCGCTACAGGAGGCCTTTATTCACCCCCCGAAGCAGTGTGAGGGACTTTTTTTTTTTATTATGGATGCACACACTTTATTTCACGTCTTACCCGCTTACCCCCATTTTAAGGCTTGGAGGGGCCAGGACAATTTTTAATATAACTCCGATTGGATTTGTCTGAAAGAAGAAAGTCACAGACACCTAGGATGCTTCGAGGGTGAGTAAAACATAGGCTAATTTTCATTTTTGGGTGAACTAACCCTTTAACACTTATTTAATCTACATATAAAATATAAGAAAAGATATGTTTAAATTTTATTTTTGTTATTTTGTCTGTTAAGACAAATAAGTTGTTGTTTGTCCTAATAAATTGGGTAAATTAAAAAAAAATTCTACTAAATTCTGCTCTCGGTTTAAGAAAGGTTATAAAACATTTTCAATAATCATCGATACAGATAGATATGAAACATTATATCGTGGTACATTTTTTTAGCTATATCACCCAAAAGAAATCTAGTACATTGGCGAGCCACCCAAACGATTGCTCAGCCAAATACAGCAAAATCTAACATGTCCCAAACAGCTGGAAGGGGGATTCATCAGACAAAGTGACTTCTTTGCTGTCCTTTTAGACAGTAAAATTTGTGCTTGTGAGAAAAAGTAAATTTTTTGCCCAATTAAGCATTTTGTAATTATTATTATTTTTGTAATTTTTTTTTTGTGTGCAATGCATCTGATCAATCTGCAGAATAATCTATAAATAATGTGAATTAACAACTGAAGCAGCAAACTTTGCGAAACTTGTTTAGATGAAAATAAATTCTAAATTAAATCTGTTCATCATATAAAGCAATCAGAGCTCTTCACAAGTCTTGGATTAAACCATACTGTTTGAGGACTTTATGACTTTTTTTAATCTTCTAAGATTAGGTTGCCATGGGGACTATTTTCAACAGAACAGACTATTTTTAAATGCATTGCATTAACGGTGTTTGTTCAGTCTGTGCCACCTAAAATTTTCAACAGGCTATTTTTGGTCCATTTTATTTTGCTTTACAAATTCATTGGTTTAAATTTGGCAGACTATTCAACACTGCACATTCAGGAAAAACTGATTAAGCACTTAGAATACATAACAGAGCATCAGTTTACTCTTGGGTCATGTTGCGCCACATCCAGATTCACTGATTTTAATGGGTTCTGTTGTCTTTTGTCTCACAAATCTTCTCTGCTATCTACTGCTAAGATAATGGCACCATAATCCAAATGTAGACCACTTCTAGCAACAACATTTTGCCCTGTGATGCCTGTTTTTACAGTATATTGTTTGTCTACACACACACTTGCTAAATTTACAAAATAAATATTCATTGATCAGTACTTTTTACTTTTAATACTCAAGTACATTAAACAAATTTTGTTTGTACTTTCACTCAAGTAAAATTGAAAATGAGTGCTTAACACTTTTACTGGTGTAATATTTTATTAGGTAGCTGTACTTTAACTCAAGTACTTGATTTGTGTGCTTTGCCCAACACTGGAACACTGATTTAAATGTAAATGCCGTTTTTTATGCATTAATCAGCTTTTCCGCATATACTGGCCCTGATGAACATAAAATATACTTACTGCTTGCACAATTTCTGCAAATCAGTTTTTGTGAATTAATAAATGACTTGCTCTGCCTGTTGGTTTGGTCTTCGTCAACACCCACTTTACACTGCCTGCTGGTGAGGATGACCAACAGCAGATGGAGAATATGTATTAATATTCTACTGCTATTCCTGCAATTCCAATGTTGAATATTCAGCTGAATTTGAACCACTGAATTTGTGGAAGTGAATCTGTAAAGCAAAATAAAATGGACTGAAAATTGCCTGATGAATATTAAAGGTAGTATTTTATAAAAGATTGTATATTTTGGAAATTAAGTCTGAAAGGTGAATATTAACTATTGATCCACCCTTCACACTGAAACTGCACTGAATGTGTGAAGATAACAGAAGCTTAGCAGCTAACTGAGATGAAAATGTAAACTTGAATTATGCCTTGCTTGCATACACTTTTAAACAGTCCATCAGATGACAGTAACAGATACCAACCCAAAACAGGAAATTGAAGGTGAAGAGCAGGTATTTTAGGAAAATGGTCCCACATGTTTCGTTCTTCTCTTTATTTTCCCCCATCTGATGAAGAAAATGCACAGACATGAACTAAAAGCAACTGAACAATTTTGTTGGGCTAAATAGGCCTATGCTGTTGTTTTGTGGATGTGCATAGTATTTGCTTTTGTCTTTTCAAATCTTATGTTAAAGGGGTCATATGATGCGATTTAAATTTTTCCTTTCTCTTTGGAGTGTTACAAGCTCTTGGTGCATAAAGAAGATCTGTAAAGTTGCAAAGACTAAAGTCTCAAATCCAAAGAGATATTCTTTATAAAAGTTATGAGTCAACCACGCCTACCTAAAATGGGCTCGTTCTAACACACCCCCACATGTGTACATCACGATGTGGGAAGATTTGCATAACGCCGCCCAAATGTTTACGCAAAGAAAGAAGGCATAACTTTTATTCTGCTGTAGTATTGTTGTTGCCGCCGCCGCCATGTCGTGAAGGCGCTGTGTTTCGTTGTGAAAGCGAAACTACTTTGGATGGCCTTCCAAAAGAGGATGATCCGCTTTGTCATGCCTGGAGCTGATCTGTACTGGTCGCAGAGGAAATACATCAACTTCGCGCTGCGGATCACCGTATCGGCTTTCATCGTGGACGAAGTGGAGTCCAGCCCGGGGTCGTCGCACGTGGTTGCCGCAAGCCCGCCGGACGCTCCATTGAATCCGCCAGCCGCGCCGTTGTCAAGCCCGCCCGCCTCTGCTCACTCAAGCCGGCCTCCGCATACTCTAGGCCGCCGTGTGTGACGCCGTTTCGTTGTGAAAGCGAAACTACTTTGTTTGGCCTTCCAAAAGAGGACACGACTAGAAATCAGTGGTTAAGTTGTATTTACAACACTGTTCCAGAACAGTTCAACCCAAATATTCAGATGTGTGCAGCGCATTTTATGGAGGACTGTTTCCTGATCCTGGTAGAGTAGACTACAATGCCGGCTGTTCTGACTCACAGACTGCAAGTACGTTTTTTATAGTTAAAGAATTTGCCACTGATGATTCAAACGCGAGTTTTGAGCAGTGTAGAGTAGCACTTGTTGTTTGTCATTTCTCTGATCACAAATGCATACATGGTTTTATGTTTATGCAGCGCGAAGCAACGCAATGCGTAAAAAGACAGTATAAATCATTATAATCCGTAATTATGTCTCCACTGGATGCAACAAATGCCTCGTTTATAATGGGTTTTAATGTTTTTGTCTCGTTGCTCCGGCCGTGACAAGGCATCACAATATCACACGCTTGCGGTATTCGGCCAATCACAACACACTGGATAGCTGGCCAATCAGAGCACACCTTGCTTTTCAGACCAATGAGCTTTTTAAAAATCGACCAGAAAGGCAGGGCATAGAGGAGAAACAATAATGTACAGTATGTGGAAAATAATGTGTTTTTTAACCTTAAACCGCATAAACATTTCATTACACCAAATACACAAAATGTTCTTTTTAGCAACATCATATGACCCCTTTAAAATATATACTTTGACACACAGGTGATGAATGTGTCTGGACCTCTTTGTTTATATGCCACTCAAAAACACAGATGTTCACAACAATGATTGACACACACACACACACACACACAAACAAACAAACACCACACACACACGCCAATTATAAACAGTTGAGATATCCCTTACAAGACAATACTGTGGTGGTACATTGCAATACAATGGTATTTACATGGTGCTCCAGCTAATACCATTCTACATGTCTAGAAGACCAAAACTGTACTATAATACTTTATTGATTAGATTAATTTCGAAATAAATACTCGTTTTCACAGTCGTAACATTTATAATAACTAATAATAATGCTCACTAAATGAAGTAATATGTGACACACAACTGACTGGTCACTCACCTGTCTGAACATGTTCAGAATGACACATCTTGATCGCTAACGCAGCACAAAGCCATGCTGAATAGGGAAACTCCCATAAAACTCTTTAAATGGCAGAAATTGAGCAATTGCAAGTATGCTATTCCGAATTCAGCCTTATAAACGGTTTCAGAGCACATTTATAATATACTTATTTGACCAACTTTCATTTTACATTTTCGCATGTCAAATGAAAGATTAGCTTGGTTTATTTATTCAGATTATTTAATCTCCGTTTTATTTTCTAATTGATTTCTACTGCGGTAACACAATACCAGCCGCTAGGCCACCCCAGAAATAAAGTTAACACTGCAGCTCTATACTCATTAGAATCAATCTGTACAGTCCCCCAATTCTTTGTAACGGTGTTCAGATTTTTCGACCTCGAAGGCTAATTCCATAAAGACCTAATTTACTACGAACACTTTTCAAAGAGTTTAGATCTTACCTTTATTAGCCGATGCCACACAAAGACAGCCAAACAGAGGAATACTGCAAACAAAAAAATAAGAATCGGTCCTCATTCAAACAAACAAACAAAAAAAAAACTTAAGCTTAATTTATCGGCTAGTTTACCTTTTTTCTTCAGAACAGAACGAACAGCAGAAACACAACGTGCCCAAAGAGAAAAGTTCGAAGGAGCTCCACCCTAGTGAGCAGGGTTGCCAGGTGCCAGAAAATGTTCCAACCTAAATTCCTATTATACTCCTGCAATACCTGAGGCTACAATTTTAGTGCCGCATCTGTAGGAATCTTTTTTGTGTGTGTGTTTATTACATGGTGGGGTCCTCAACATGTTAGCACACTCACATAGTGGGGACCAAATCCCCGGTCCCACCATGTTTTGCTCAGGAGGCGTTGCTGATATGCCTAGTGCAGTTTTTTCTGAAACCCCTCCATGAGCAAAAACCGGATTTCTGTCCCCAGCAGCCCCTCACTGCAGAACAAAGATCCAGGGAGCGGGGTTGGATCCTGGGCGCCCCCCAGCACTGCACATTTTGTGTATCTCCCTAATCAAACACACCTGATTCAACTCATTAGCTCATTAAAAGAAACTCCAGGACCTGAAATGGGTGTCAGATAAGGGAGACATACAAAATGTGCAGTGTTGGGGGGCGCTCAGGACCAGGGTTGAGAAACACTGAGATTCAGGAGGTGGAGGTGGTAGGTTTAGGGGTGGAGATGGGTGGGTTTAGGGATCAGGGGGTGGAGACGAGTAGGTTTAGGTATATGTAAGGTGGGAGGAGTTGGATCTAGATCCAACCTCGCCCCCTGGATCTTGTGTTCTGCAGTGAGGACCATCTCTTTCTGTGTGTGTTTTTTTTTACAGTCTATGGTGTGTGTGTGGCAGCGCTGCTTTACAGCGCCCCTGTAGTCTGGCCGCGGAACTGCACCTCTTTACCGACTGCTCAGTGCTCATGCGCAAAACCACCTGACCAAACCAACGTTAATCACCGTTAATCAACGTCAATCAATTTTCACCCTCGACGGATTAATCAATTGTTACAGGTAATTAGACAGGTTTTTTCACATTATCTCGATAATTCAGTAATCAAAAGAAGACATCGCAGTTTAATCCTTAGTCAAATATCTGAGGCGATATCTATGTGTTGTAATTGATTTTATTTTATTTTTTTACCAAAAAATATGGCGAAAACACTGATAAACTTAAACTGTATGTAGGCATATAATTTAAGGGGTTTACATGAGGAAAATATTATGCTAACGTGCTAAATTTCCGGCACTGCGTGGCGTGCGATTAAGAGGCCGGAGTGAGGTTTGTGATTCCCGGGGAGACGCTGAATCGAGCGCCGGTGACGCGGCCTACTCACGGAGGAGGAAGCAACGGAAACCGGGAAAAGAGGCGGAGGAGCACGTTATCAGCGCCGCCAACGAGACTAAACACAAAACCGAATATAAAGGTAGGTTACCGTAGATTTACTATGCTATTTTAGTAAATTCTTTCTGTTACCACAGATACGCCATTATTTTACGTTCATTTAACTATTTTTAAAAACATGATAATAAATTTGCCATGTTTTGTAGTTGCATTATAGTAATACCATGGTTTTTCATAAGAGTGCATTCCAAGGTTATAGAAATCTTAAATAAATAATCATGGATAATTTCAAGTTCTGATTCTTAGAATTGTTAGAGTTAAGATTAATAACCATAAACTGTAACTAAATATAAATTAAACCTAATAATGTTACACTAATACATAAAGCAAAAGTAATCATACATTTGTTTTAGTTATCCTCAGCTCTTTCTTAAACGTTTTAGCAGTTACACTTTTATTTGTGAAAGCAGTATTTATAAATTGACTTTAAAAAAATCTTAATACAGTAATCATGAAGACTTGGTGATTCATTGGTCATCATAAGTTGTAGGTTAAACCGTTTTAAAGTGCTCTCCATCCATCCATCCGTATGTATGTATGTATGTATGTGTATCTTAATATTGAAAAGCATTAAAAATTATCATTAAAAAGCTTATTTTAACTAATGGTCTATTTTTCTTCCATACATCTGAATAAAATTAACAGCTAGCTAACAAATTGCTTTGTTCTGGTTTCACCTCACTCCAGACTAAACTAAATGATTTTATAGGTAATTTAGAGAAGATATTTTGAAAAATGTTGGGATGAGAAAAAAATACTATGGAAGTCTATGGTTCTCATCAACTGTTCGGATCCCAACATTTTTCAAAATATCATCTTTTGTGTTCAACGGAAGAAAGAAACTCATGCAGGTTTGGAACAAGTGTGGGGGGTGGGGGGGGGGGGTGAGTAAATGGTGACAATTTTCATTCTGAAAGTGAACTACTCCTTTAAGGCTAAATCACACTTTCGATCTCCTATCTGACAAAAAGGAAAATCAATCCAATTATGAATATTAAAATGTATGGTCAAAAATTTCTGGGAATGTATGGTCAAGAATTTCTGGGAATGTGGATGGATTCAAAACTGTATTTTAGAATTCATATTCAGAAATTAGTAGACAAAGGTAAAAAAGCAATAAATATAATGAGGTGCTTGGCAGGTGTTGAATGGGGGGCATGTCGTCAGTCTCTTAAAAGAATATACTGTGCACCGATAAGAGCAGCTATTGATTATGGTAGTATGGTGTACAGTTCGGCATCTAAAACACAACTTTTAAAGATCGAGACAATTCAATCACAGGCACTGCGAATATGTTGTGGAGCAATAAGATCATCTCCAATAGCAGCAGTACAAGTAGAGCTGGATGAAATGCCTCAGGAATTTCGAAGGCTCAAGTTAAAGATGAGATACTGGATTAATATAAAAGGACACTTAGATAGTCATCCAGTTAAGAAAGTTCTGAAGGATTGCTGGGAATATGAGTATAAAAAACTATCACGCTTGGGATGGACTGCCAATGAGGAGGCACAGAATATGGGAATTAGTGACATCAATATTGCCCCTTCTGTGGCAACTTCAGCAGTTTCTCCTTGGCTTTTCCCTATGCCTGTAGTTGACGTTCAGCTATATGAAGAAAAACATAACCAGGAAAGAAGTATGTTAACAAATATAGCAGTGCAGCAATACATTGAACAAACTTATTATAGCATATTGCAAATATACACGGGTGGCTCTAAAGATCCTGAATCTGGAATAACAGCAGCAGCAGTCTACATACCCCAATTCAAAGTCAAAATTTCAAAAAGAATTTCAGATCATATATCTGTTTTTACTACAGAGACAATTGCAATATTCCTAGCTCTTCAGTGGATGGAAGAAGTACAGCCAATAAGGTCAGTAATTTGTACAGACTCCCTTTCAGTTTTAAATAGCTTGCTAAGTGGAATTTCAACAGCAAGGCAAGATATCATTTTTGAAGTGATGCAGAGTCTATTTCGAATAAGACAATCTGGTCTTATGTTAAATTTCCTGTGGGTACCATCACATATGGGTGTGGAAGGAAACGAGGAGGCAGACCATCTGGCTAAACAGGCTCTGAAGCTTGCACAAATTGACATTAAAGTGTCAATGAGTAAAGCAGAAGTAAAAGGGTTAATTGCAAATGAAATAAGAAAGAAATGGCAGAAGGAGTGGGATAGTGGAACAAAAGGTAGACACTTTCATCATATTCAAGAGAAAGTAGGTCAAGAAAGAAGAAAGTTTGGCAACAGGAAAGAAGACGTTTTAATGTCAAGAATGCGTATTGGACATTGTTCGTTAAATCAGTGTCTGTATAGAATGGGGAAGCACGAAACTGGAAATTGTGACATGTGGTCATGCAGAATCAGTAGAACATGTACTTATAGAGTGTGATGCATATGCAATAATTTGTCACTTCAGGTTCTGTTTGGAAATGACCCAATGCAATCAAGAATATTTCATGAATTATTTTCTTAAAAGAAACCAGACTGATCAATAGAATTTAGGATACGGTTGTAGTAAAAGCGGGAATAATTGGCGTTGTATTTTTTTGTTTTTGGCTATAGTTCTCAAACTTCCAATCATTATGCGCTCCACACTCCTATCCAGTAGGTGGCGGGAATGCACCATTTAAGTTGGTTTGCCAACCGCCATTAAATTTAGAAGATCTCCTATATGAGGTTTTTTTGTTGTTGTTTTTATTGCTTCAACCAGATTAACAAAAGATTTCAACATATAGATACAACACAACCTATTCACATTATTACAATCATACAACTTACAGGAACAACAATTTTTTTTAAATTATAAATAAAATAAAAGATTTCTTCCTTTTCCCTAGAGACACATTTAGTATACAAATGAGTTGAAAAACATAGCGGGGACATTATCTTTCAAAGAATGTCTCCATAAAATTTAACAATTTCATGCTTTTTGTTATTAATTAACACTAAAGACTTTTAACAACCCCATTTCTTTTAAGAATACTTCACATTTAGGTAAACAATCCGCAAATTTTTGTTTATGAATGTAATATTTACCATGTAAAAGTTTACAACATATTTAAACATTTTGCTTTTGTGCGTGTAAGAACATAACATCTTTTAAAGATAATTTATAATTAACATTTCTTGGGGCAAATAGAAAAAAGCTAACATCAGACCAAAATTTCAAAGACAGATCACAGCTGTAAAACAAATGACGCAAGTCTTCCTCGTGTATATTACAAAAACTGCATTTGTTTTCAATATCCATGAATTTTGATAAAGCTTTACATGGGTAGATTTTGTGGCGTATTTTAAAGTGTACCTCTTTAACTTTATTCAACATACAAAATTTATATGGATTTAACCATGCCTCTTTCCAATGAATATCAGAAATCTGCGCATTCCAAAAATATTTCCCTCTTGGAGAGATTTTATGATTGGATTGAAAGATTAATCTAATATTTTTATTATTACAGGAATGAGAAAATGGTTTAATACTATTAACTCAGGAAGTTTCCTTTCGTGACTTCCAAAAATGAGGTGACTTTTCATTAAGTGTATTAATCAGTTTGGAATGGCTTTTACAACTTTCTGAAACTCTTTAAATGGAATTGGGAAATTATAGAAAGACAAATTCTTCATAAGACAACAAGTTTCCCCACTTTTATCAAACAGATCCATAACAAAGTATATATTTTTTTCAAGCCAATTACACAAAAATAAAGACTTATTCCTAGAGGTAATGAGACCTCTATTGTTC